CTCCGGCCCAGGGGACCCCCAAGCCCACAGAGGACGGACCTACGTCCCCCCTACAGAGGAAGCCAGTCATAGAGGGACACACCCACCTAGAGCCACCTTTGCACCCCGTATACTTGGAGGAGGCCAAGACGGACTGTACTGGTCCGGCAGCAGCAGTTTGTCCATTCGTGGAAATGGGCGTGGACAGGCAGGGACAACGTCCCCACGCAGGATACCTCAGTCCCAGAGACGGACGCAGCGAGAGGCCCAGCGAAGAGACAACGGAGACGTTGCTGCTCACTGGACAGGGAATGGTAAGAGTTTACGTCTTCTGCCTTAAGACAGAATTTATGTTCCGGTTCTGAATTATTTACTTCTGTGCCTCTAAAAATATTTTTTATATGGACTTTAAAAAAAAAGGTGGGCAAGGTATCGTGATTAATTAGAATTGCCACCAAGATATGAAGTCACAATAAGGTTGTAATCTTAATCTGCGGTTCTGCTTCAAGGATCAAGCAGGGGCTGCAGGTGGAGCCAGACGAGGAAGGAAAAGAAAACAAACGTAAGTTCATCTTGGAGATTCTCTGGACTCTTTGCTGCTTTAATTTAAACATTTGGAGTAAAAGTCTTCCCCTCAGTCAGCTTTAATTTTGTTGCGTTTCTTACTTTGTTAGGCTTCAGAACGTGTTAGAAGATTTCAGAGACATGGATGCTACAGCACTAGAGGAAACCAAGGCTACAGTAAGACACACACTGTTTATATTCTTAATAAGATTTGTTCCAACATGTCTTATTTACATATCTTTTATTCTAGCAGAATTAACCAATTAGGTGTTTATATAATTTAGTAGAGTATCTTCCACATGTTGCTTTTCCACCTTCTCCTCATTGAAATGTCTCGTCTATTTGAACCCACGAAAGTTTGCATAATATAAAGTTTACGACTTTATTGAATTGCTTGACTTTGCAGCAACTTGAGGAAATCTGCAGTAAATATAATTTCTTCTTTTTAAATATCCTTCAAGTTGTTTGAGCTGCTCATCCTTAAAACCTTAAAGGAAATGACATTCCTTCCCACGAGGAGTGCATTTAATTTCTGTAAACACTCCTGTAAATAATTTAAATATTCCCCCAGTTACAGTCCAGAAATCATGTTTCATGAACACAACAATTAAGTTGAGCTTTGATTTTAAAAAGTGTAAATGCTGTGGGGAAAAAAAAAAGACTTATTGACTTTGGTTGTTGAGGAAAATGTTTGCTGTTTAGATGAATGCAGGTCCAGTCTGGCTAACTAGATTGGATTTAGCCAGACTAAGTCCAATCTACTTAGCCAGGTTATTTTCCAGGTCTGGAACGAGAACATCAGAGTTTCCTGTAATATTTGTACTTTTTTTTTTTCTACAAAGATGTGCTGTAACTCTGAATTAATTTATTACGGGAAGAGCTGAACGTTGCGCTTACTTGAGGCTCTCTCCCGTTCCAGGCGGCGCTCCTGAAGCCCGACAGGTCTGTACGCGGCAGGCGGAGACGAGGTACCAGATCTCAGAGGCAGTGATTAGTGGAAGAAGACGTTCAGCAGTAAAACGGCGGCCAGGCGCCTCCCGACGCACCCCATCCATCTCTCTGCTGTCGTTACTACTGCTTCGAGCATTTTAGTGGGTGGGGAGACAAAACAAAACAAAAAAACAACTGCACTAATAGGATGCTGTCGTCGGGTCAACTTGAGTGTGGCAACCACTATTTAAAATAACACATAGGAGAAAGATATAGTCAGATGAATTTATTTTTTAAAACTGTGTGGGAGGGAGGTGGAGATTTTTGTGGATAGTTTTTTCACTAGATTTTCTCTTAAGTCATGAAACAACATCTGGACTTTGTGATCAGAGACCGTTTCAACTAGGTTGGTGTTATATCAATGAAAAACAAACGAGTACTGTTTTCTTCTCATCAGTGTGTTACTATGAGTCAGGATAAAGCCCGTCTACTTGAATGATGTTCTGTGTTGAAAGTGTGTCTCCACAATGTGTGTGCGTGTGTGTGTGTGTGCGTGTGTGTGTGTGGAGTTTTGACTTTTTGTGTGCTTGAGCGTGTGCTGTTGCTGAGCCCCAATCGTGTTTGTCAAAAATTTGTTTTGGTATCAGTATAGAGGAACCAGTCTCTCATAGCTGTTGTGTTTTTAAAGGGGGTGGTTGAATTCGAAAGAAAATGTTTTCTAAAGGTTTGAAGGAAGTGCTGAGAAGCGGCGAGAATGAAATGAATCCCTTTCCTCTTGAACTCAGATTTGACGTTGCTAAGGAAACGGTTTGGTTTGGGTTTCTTTGGCTGTTTACATCAACCACCAAAAAAAAAAAAAACATAGCTTTCACTAGCTAGAACTGTTTATTACTTCTAAGAATTGCTCATAATTAATTGAGACACAATTTAACATTCTTTTGTACACTATTCTAAATCTTCTTCTGTTTTTTTTTTTTTGTTTGTTTGTTTTTTGTTGTTAGTAAGCCCGGGTCTCTGTAACTTCCTTCTGAAATGACTGAATTTGTGAGGTTTTTTTGCAAATCCACAACAAATCTTGAACAGTTCATGATACTTGAGGTGCATTTTGTGACTTTTTTTTAGCGACTCTAGTTACATTTCACGTATTATTGAAATGACATGTAGCTACGGTGCGATGGAGAGTATTTCAAAGGCCCGCTCCCATCCACGCATTACGGATCTAAACATTTGCACAAACTTTGAGGTTGTGGAAAGTACTGTATGTCTTTTTAAAATTGGAGAAGCGGCTTGCAAGGATAACGAGACAGAGTGTGATGGTGTCCGTGTGTGTCCGTGTGTGTGTGTGTGTGTGTGTGTGTGTGTGTTACTGTGGACTTGGAGTGATGCGTTTATCCTCCCGGTGTTTCCTCATTTCACTCTCTGAGCTCTCCTCCACTCACTGCCCCGCCCCAGGAGTTTTTGGCATCTCTCTGTCTGTATTTAAAAAAAATATATAAAAAGAAAAGTGAAAAGAAAAGCAGATTATGCAATTTCTATACTTGGACATTTTGTATATATGTACAGTTAATGTGTTTGATTTTATATTGTCAGAGAAACACCAGAGAAAACAATTGTGAATTTTCTTGGAATTGTAATTATTTTTCTCATTCTACCCCCTTTTGCTTTCAATACCTACGTTTAAAAAAAAAAAAGAAAGAAAGAGGAAAAAAAAGACGATTAAATTGTGGACTGTAGCGTTCTTTTTTTATATGGGAGTCATTTTTTATTTAATATTAAACTATTTACACAAAAAATGTTTTGCTTTTGTGTGTTTCTGTTACTGAGTGCCATAAATTTGGGAGCCGTTTTCCTTTTGAGTCAGATTATGGAAGTTACGATTGGGACAAATGCCTTGCTGTAAATTGATATTAACTTTAGAAGATTTCAATTTCCGTTGTGTTTCAATTTTGCATTTGTCATGCTTCTCCAAAAACCTTAAGAAATTCTTGAGGCTTTTATTTAGTAGACCAGCCCAATCTTGAAATGGAGGAACACATGCTTTCTCCTTCAGATTATTATTTTATTTTATTTTTTTGTAAACAAAACTTTGAAATTTGGATTGGAATTCACAAGAGTAACATTTTTGGGGGGCTTGTCAGACTTAGGAGGTTGCACTACATTTTGCTCCATTTTTTTTCCTCATTGTTTGCGTTTGCTTTTATATGACTTGTGGCGAGCAGTTAAACCTGTGAGGGCTTTTCTTTTGTTCCACAAATGACAAATTTATGGAGTCTAACACTAGGAGATTTTGCTTACATGAGCTGTGGCTCTCTGTAGCTCCTCCAGAGTTCCCATGTGCCTCTTTTAGCTCCCCTGATTAAGATCCTCTCTGCCTGCATTGTCTTTCTTGGTTTGCAGTTGTTTCGTACTCTCTATTTTCCAGATGATGGATTACAGCAAACAGTGCACCAGGAAAAGTTTGGCATATTGTTTGTTGTAAAATTGCCTGACTAATGCTCACCACACTTTCCAAATTTTAATGGGTTTTTTTTGTTGTTTTTAAATTAAAATTAATATTTTCTTCCAGTTCACAATTGGGAATAAATTTGTGTTGGTCTGTCACATGAAACCCCAAAATCTCAAATTGTATCAATACTTTTCTGAGGCAGTGCAAGTCCTACATTATTCATATGACCCTGAGTCACGACTGGCACAAAGGTTTGTCCGACGATAAATTCATCAAGTCACCAGGTGTTATTTTGTACTTTTATTCTGCTTCAAAATAAAGTCATGTACAGTGTGCCTTTACCATGACCACGTCCCAAATAAACAATAAACTAACCATGAATAAACAAACATTTCTGGTATCAAAATGACAGAATTTGGAAATGTTCTGGATGTGTGAATATTTTTTCAAGGCACAACATATCAGAAAGTCATTTTATTTTTCCATCGTATTCACCTGGAGCATTTATGCTTACATACAGAACATATACTTTAGCCAAAAAATCGTTCGTGAAACAAATCACAATTTGAGAGAAACAGGCTAAGATCTGAATCAAAGTACATTGTAACATTGTCAAATTTATTATAGTTTGTTAAAATATGACAAAAAAAAACAAAACAAAAAAAAACACTACAATTGCTACAAATATTTTTGGAAAGGATTGCTCCTATCATGGCTGTCCTCCACAACACTCCAAGTTGTGATGTAGCCTGAGAATTAAATAAACCCTGCAAGCAGCAGAGCCAAACCCGTCTTAAAGCAGTCTGTCCAACATTTTAATGGGCAGAGTGTGTCCTCAGGCTTCACATTCCGCTGAATCATATTGTCTCACCATCAATCACTGTAATACATCTTCAAAGTGAAGCTCAGTCAGTAACAATAGCCTCTCTCCGCCCAGAGCCCACTTTTATTTATTTATACATTTTTTTCAAAGTGACTTCATGAGATCAGAAAGCTTCCAGAAAATGATTCTGAATGATGATTCATATATTATTAAACACTTTTTTTCCCTCCTAATCAGTTCGGATGCGATGCTCCTCATGTTGGCTCCGACTTCCTCTTCCTATAACGATGCGGCTCCGACTCAAGATGATGATGCTGAGGCTGTGGGTACCGCTTTAAAGAAGCGGATGCTGACCACGCCCTTCCGCGAACCACCGATAGAGGGCGCGGTTTCGATCCCAAGCAGGCCGAAAGAGCAGCAGCTTTTACCTCACTGCCCTTCCAGCAGCATCTCACCTTCAGCCGGCCACACGCACATCCGCCGACGCCCCTGACAGAGACCACCGGAGGCACAAGCCGCGTCTGGAAGAGAAAAACAAACGGGGCGAAAGCGTCCAAAACCAGGGCCAATTGATTTAATAATGTAGGGCTTGTTTTTGCGGTTTGACATCTAATTTAGCCTGCCCGCTTCACTGCGACACAGAAATCCCGCATAGATCTACCGCAACCTTCTCCTCGGCTTGTCACGATCAACCCGTCTTGCCTTCCCGGACGCAAGCAGTCGACGTCTTCCGCGAATCCGTCGCTGTTTGGGTTTTTTTCTTTTCTCTTTTCGGCAGTCAGATCAGGCCGCATCTGCTCGCCCTCCAGCCTCAGCAGCATCTTTCCAGCAGCAGCAGCAGCAGCAGCAGAAGCAGCATCATCATCCTTCTCATCAACGCCATCCTCGAATCTGCGCAATGGCCGACGTACCAGCGGAGTGCAACATAAAAGTGCTGTGTCGCTTTCGCCCCCTCAACCAGTCGGAGATCGTACGCGGGGACCAGTTCCTGCCCAAATTTCAAGGGGACGACACCGTCATCGTGGGGGTGAGTGAGGATGGGGGAGCCGCTTTGTTGCAGGCCCTTCATCAATAAATCACCAGCCGGCGCGACCCCATCTGTTTGGGTCGGAGCTCAGGTGTTCAACGCGACGCAGCAGCAAATTAAAACGCCGCGCTCTTTTCTCTTATTCTGGGGTCCATTGCATGACAAAGCGCAAAAGTTTAGCATTCATGTGATGTTTCTGAAATGCGCACATTGGCCTGTTGCATCAGCTGACTGTGGTCTGCGCGGTGCTTAGATTGTTCTAGTGTTTATTTTTTTGTTTAAATGTTGCGATTATTGTAGCGGTTTCGTTGAGAATCGTTGATTCTTATTAACGAAAAAGAAATACGGAAGCTCGCCTCGTTCATCTTTGCCTCAGTGTTAAAGAGGCCCTGGGTGGTGTGTCCCCCCTCCACCCCCACCTCCCTAATATACACCGACAGTAAACACATTGCCTGGTAACGTGTTTATAGTGCAATTTATTTGTACATCGTTTTTTTTTTTTTAAAAGTGCACTGAAGAAAGAAAAGATGTAAATTCTGCCTTTTTAAATTTGTGTTGATGACATCACAAGAGGCACAACAGTGAGTTCCTCATCAAGAACTACAAGCATGCAGATTTACATACATTTAAAAACTGACCATGTTCCTCTTTGATATTGCTTTGGACATATAAAAGAAGAAGAAGAAGAAGAAGAAGAAGAAGAAGAAGAAGAAGACAGTCACTGTGCACTTAAGCCATGAAGGAAGACTTTATTTTTTGTCAGTTTACAATTTTTATGGAGATAAACTGTCCCAAAAACATTCAAGCATAATATCTAATCTTATTAGATTGTACATTATTATAATCAGAAATCTTTGCTATGCTCTATTTTGATTTATTCATTCTCTAATCCTTTGTGGTCCAGTCGACTTTTATAAAATATGACTAATTTTGGCCCAAGCTCTTACCAAAAATAACAAACTTCTGGTGGCAGATATTATTATTTAAAGTCAAAACACCTTATGGTGGGTGACACAGTTTTGTACCCAAAAACAAACATGAAGTGGGGAAAAAGGGTGAAATGAGCAGCACTTGAATCAGGTTAGGTGGCATTAGTAAGCACTAGTATGGAAAAGCGACTTTTGATAGATTTGATTATATATATTTTGACATTCTGAAGCAGATAAGATGCATTAGAGTAAAGGCAGTGGCCAGATTTTGATTCATTCGTCTTGATGGATGCAATTATTTCTTACTCATGAGAGTCAGAGAAGCAGAGTCTAATGTTTTGTTCACAAGCAACAATGGAAGAAAGCCTGCTGATCCACTGACATAATTCAAGCGCTCTCTTTGGCCTCCAGGCCAGCAGGGGGCTCCAACCAGGAAGTCACAAAGTTCACTACTCTGTCAGGTTGTAAATCCTGTTTTGATTTTCTCTCTAAAGTAATGTTACATTTGGACAAGTTTTGGCAATACGAAATTGTCTACAAAGTTTACATTGATGAAAACTATCAGCAGAGGTTGGCATCTTTTTTTTTATAATAGTAATGTAGTCTGCTTAATTCTGCATAATAATATAGTTTGAGAAACAGGTTCTGATTAAAAGCATGGAACGAATCTGGCTTGGAAACAGACTGTAGTTGGTAGCTTTTCTATATTTTAGTTTATAAGTAATTTCAAAAACATGTTTTACATTTTTGCATGTAAAGACTGGAAAGTGTCTCTACTCTACTTTCTTGTTGATAATTGTTTTTAAACAGACTCAATTTAGATACCATATGTACTAACAATATAAACTAATTAACTTAGCATAATCTGAATGCTACATTGTTCACTCTTGGCTTCTGCATATGTCAAACATAAAAAGGACACCAATAAAATAGTGTGCCTGCCTAAGGACACGTTCCAAAAAATGAGAGGATAATGTTGATTTAGATTCTCCCGTATCTTTGAACATGCAGAGGGACAAACTACAGTGAAACTATCTCCAGTGATGAATGCAGAGATCTCATCTTGACCTTCCTTTCCTCTGTTGGCATTAGGTTGGACACTAGAGCCAGAAACCGATCTGTCTAATTGCCCAAAGAGCAGATCAATAATCGTTCAGAGACAGCATGCATTACCGCCTGACCTGGTTTTTCATGTCTCTGGCTTTTAGCATCTGTCTCCTCTTGGGTCTTCTAATAATTCTTTGTTTTTCATTTCTTGTATTTTTTTTTTAATCATCCTCTTGGCTTTCTTTATTGTCTCTCCGCTTATAAATTTGGTTTCCCTGACGCTTCCTTCAGAGAGTGACTGTCTCTCCCTCGTAAATCACTCTGACGTGTAGGCGGACTGCAGATGAGTCAATTTGCTAATGATGATTAATACAGCTCAGTTTCTGGCTGCTGACATTATTATAGAAGGCTGGCCTCAGGTTCAGATGGAAAAGTGATGGAGGTTACTGAGTCACTTATCAGCGTGTCTCACAGAGGCTGCCTACATTTGATGTAATTAAATAAAAAGCATACCATTCTGGATTTAAGCACCAGCATATGGATGAAAGAAAATGACACCAGTTCAGGAGTCAGTATTTGTTTAGAAGGTCTGTATTTTATTCAGACATTAGCATCTTGTTTGGAAAGATATATATATATATATATATATATATATATATAGAGAGAGAGAGAGAGATATGTTTCCTGATTACTTGTATGGAGAGTAGAAGTGATATTGTCCATATGTAGAGTTTTACTGACCAAATAAATAATGACAAAATGATTTGGAGATGACATTTTAATCTGGCTTCAGTAAGTAAATTTATCGATTAGCACAGCTAGCATCACTAAAACAGTTGTCGTTCTAAGTGTACTCCAGGGAATGTAGATCTTTGTCTTATGTCTGAGATTCACTGAAAAGATCCCAACATTCCCAAATCCAGCATTTCCATAACAGACAGAGGCTAAAGATCTGAAGATTAAAACAGAGAAACTGTTTTATACCTTTAGCCTTCCTGTTATTTGGTGAAAAATGTGCTCTCTTTTGTTGGCCGAATGAACTGTATACATGTCTTGACATGTTGTGGAAACAGATGCTTTCAACATCACTATGTGCTGAGACACTTAGTAACTGCATAAAGAAGATACTAAGTGTCGTCCATGTCAGCTGACGGAGTTTACATGCTGTGTGTTTGTTGTTTGGAAAAAGATTGTGTTTTTAATTACAGTGGTAGCTAACCAGTCAGGGCTAATGAAAGTGAAAATCCTCAAATTCTGGTCCGGATCTGATTTCTCAGCCCGTCTTTATAACTTATTTATTTTTTCTAATAAACTGCAGCTTAGCTTCAGTTTTACTATAAAAACTGGAATCTACTGAAGACAGATCCACATGGTTTTGCTAAGGTTCTGTGGAGCATGGTCGTGTCAGAAGTGGCAAAAAAATGGGGAAAAAATTTGAAAATGGTTCATTTTTAAAAAAGAAAAATCAAATTAAAGAATAGCACTGAAAACTCACTTAGGTGTAGATGTGTTTCAAAACCTGTAGGAGCAACAAAACAAAATTCACGTAAAAAAAAAAAAAAAAAAAAAATGGGGGACAACATCGGGTAACATTCCCCCATTAGGAAAGAAACCCATGTTTCTTCAAAGTAAAGCACTTTATCAGGCATCTTCATTGATATGCCGGTGTCAATGAAGATGACACCGGCATTATCAACAAGTTGTCCAGATTATCAACAAGTTGTCCAGAATCTAGTGTAAAACTACAAAAAATATGTTTAGTCAAAATGTATTTTCCAAAACATTTTCATCTCTGATGTCATTTCTAACTGTTTGCTTTTGTTTTGTTTTGCTTTGCTGCAGGGGAAGCCGTATGCATTTGATCATGTGTTTCCAACCAACACCACCCAGGAGCAAGTTTACAATACCTGTGCCAAGCAGATCGTCAAGGGTAAGGTCAAACCGAGGAACACGTCCACTGCTAAATCTACTCACAACATTACAGAAAAAAATCTGACAATCATTTATGTGTCGTTGTGTCTTTCTACATGCAGATGTGCTCAGTGGATACAATGGCACCATCTTTGCATATGGACAAACGTCCTCTGGGAAGACTCACACCATGGAGGTCTACATTATATTATATTATATTATATTATATTATATTATATTATATTATATTATATTATATTATATTGTGTTCTGTGTCCAGTGGAGAAAATGAAATATTTCTGCTCTTACTCTTTTGTATCTTGTTCAGCGAAAATGGTGGACAGAATAAGACAATTATAGGGAATCTAGTTGAACTGTTTTTACATTTCCATGACACTATTTACCCGCTGCTTTGTTTTTGGTTCTGGTTTGTTTTGTTTCTGCTACAGTTGATGGAAGCTAGACAATGGTTTTAACAGAAAATATCTATTTTAATAACTGATTATTTGTTGTCCTGAAAACAAGACAATTTTTTTTAATCACAAATATTGCTATTTTTCTATCATATCTTGTTATTTTTAGTGTCTTAAGAGTGCTATTGTAAAAAGAGCTTTCATCAACACTTTGATCTGGACACTGATGGCCGTCTCACACCTTCTCAGTGCTGTTTTTTCATCTGTTTTTCATCTGTTTCAGGGAAAGCTGCACGACCCTCACCAGATGGGCATCATTCCTCGCATTGCTGAGGATATTTTCAATCACATCTTTGCGATGGACGAAAACCTGGAATTCCACATCAAGGTCTAATTTTAGACTTGCTCCATCTTGTGTCGTGAACATTTCTCGTTTAGGAAGAGTGTCTTATTTAGATGTGAACTTTTTTTTTTAACCTCCTCTCCATTTTTTATTTGCTGTTCCCTTTTCCTTCCTTTTTTTTCTACATCAGGTTTCCTACTTTGAAATCTACATGGACAAAATCCGTGACCTGCTGGATGGTCAGTGAACAGAGATTGAAAAGAGATTAAAAGAATAATTTGCTAATGTGAAGAAGTATTTGTTTTATTTATTTTGTTTTCTTTTGGCTATAAATGTCTAAATCAAACAGATATGATGTTATGTTCATGTTACGTTTCTTTTAGTGACGAAGACCAACCTGTCTGTCCATGAGGATAAGAACAGGGTTCCATATGTTAAGGTTGGTAACGGAGATGCTCTATTTTCATCCTTCTAAATGAACCTCTGGCTGGATTATTACATCAATGATAACATCTCTGCCTCATTTTCTCCTCCACTTAGGGATGCACTGAGCGCTTTGTGTCCAGCCCTGATGAGGTTATGGATGTGATTGATGAAGGCAAAGCGAACCGCCATGTTGCTGTGACCAGTGAGTATCAGTAAAATCCCATAGAAAACATTTATACGTACAATGATCCACACTCTTTTCTTTTCTTTTTTTTTTTTTTTTTACAATGCAACCTCAAACTTTAATAGATATTGGATTTTTATTTGATAGACCACTGCAAAGCATGAGAGACTGTGAAGAGGAGGGAAAAGGAGACATCATTTTCACAATGTTTTGTGAAAATATTTGTTTTTTAGGGCTAAAAATCTGAAATTGCAATCAACTCCCTGCCATGAGTGAATACTTTGTGGAACCGTGTTTTACGGCATTTGCAGTTTGTCCTTACATTTTAAAATTATGCTGTACTTTGTCTTGGTCTACCGCAGATAGTCTCAGTAAAATACATTGAGGTTTTTGATTGTAATGTGACAGGATGTGTGGATCATTTTCATAATGTAACTGTTGTGAAGATCTGTGTTTGGAGAAACACTCACAGCTCCCACTGTTGCCAGTGTCATTGATAATAACGTGTTAGGAGTAAATGATGGTCAAGTTTATCTTCCTTGTAATGGAAGCTCCTCCTTACAGGAAAAAAGGACAAGACAAATAATATTTTTTTAATGAAAATGAAAACATGCACAAAGATCCCTGGATGGGGTTTGAACTTGGTGAAAAGATGCTAAATTTTAAAACGCAGTATTGTGAAAAGTAAAAAAACAAAACAAAAACAAAGTTGACCCCAAAAAATAAATAAAACCAACAGAGGCAGAAAATAAAACTTGAACATCCCTCCATAAAGGTTGCAAAGGTTTCAATAAATGGGACAATTGTGTGTTTTGCTTTATTTTTGCACTTTTGTCACTTCAACCCTGAAAATTCACTTCCCTGTTCTGTTTTTGTCTATAAGTTAGTGCAATATCACAAGCTTATGATTGAAAATGATAATTTACCATTATTGTGTTATATTCAACTCTATAATTATTTCAGGTATTGGTGTCAACTGTTTTTAGTATAAATGCTCTTGTACTTTTGTAGTCGACTTTTTCCTGCTGTGGTTACAAACAACATGCTGAAGTAAAACAATTAGTCCAATTATAAACTCCCTACAACCATAAAAAAAAAGACTTAAAATGTTTGTGGTTTTATTTGCCCACTCATGGTGATAAAACCAAAGGCAGACTGAAACAGGAAGGGGAAGCATCAGATGAGCTTTGGGAACCGGTGCATTCAAGACATGCGAGTCTCAAACTCACAACAACCTCGAACGTGGAGGGAGCAGCACGCCAGCAGAAGCGGCTCTCAGATGATTTGCTGAAAGCCGCATTCCTGTGCGGCGCAGGGTTGTCCGGTTCCTGTCGCTGCCTGCTGACTCACGGTGCTGCAGAGTGATGTTGCTGATAGCAGCCGAATGGGGCCACAGTCTGCCGACGCGGAGCTGATGCCCTCAGATATCTGCAGAGAAACCGGAACTTTCAGCCTGTGAGGCGGTTCGATCAGGAGAGTCATTTAGGAGAGTGCTGCTCATTTATCAGCGGCTCGCTGTGAAACGGTGAAATCCTCCCGCTGTGATGTTGGCTGCTTTGATCGATTTGAAACTAATTGTAGGGAAATTTTTAATTATTAAAAACAATAAACAGTAGGTTACCGTTTGCACTTCGTAACACTCTTTATTATGAAGAGCTTTGCGTCTTTAAGTTAGATGATTACATGGCTACAGTGTAGTAAAGATAATTAAGTTGCCTTTCATTCAACTCTAATTACATTAGCATAAACTCAAACTCAATCACTGGCTTCTGTTTTCCAACCGTGACTTTTCCTTATGTTTTCCTTTCATTCTTTTCCAGAAAGTCGGGAGAGTCTCTCCATTTTAATTGGTTGAAGGGGGTCAGGAGAGGATAGCATTAACGTCAGAATCCCCAAGGCAATAACTAATTTGCTAATAACTAAAACTAATAGCTAATATAAGAATTAATAAATCCGAATAAAATAAGTTGAAGTTTGTGGTTCTAACCTGACAGAATGTGATAAAGTTGAAAAGGTTATGACTAATTTTACAAAGAGCTGAATGCTGGGTAACAGATAGACTGGTGGCTACACATTATAAGATATGTCAGGCCCTACATTCGTCCACTTTCTTTATTAAAAAGTTAGTCACAATGCACCATATTTTAAAGTTGTCCTGTATGGGCGCTGGTGCCTCTTGCCACTATACATTGCATTGTGATTTTCTTAAGTACTTCCTCTGTTTTTTTTTTTGTTTTTGTCTTTGTCCAGACATGAACGAGCACAGCTCTCGCAGCCACAGCATCTTCCTGATCAACATCAAGCAGGAGCACGTGGAGACGGAGCAGAAACTGTGTGGGAAACTCTACTTGGTGGATCTGGCTGGCAGCGAGAAGGCAGGAGACGCATGCAGGAGACGGCAAATATTCAACACCAGTGAATTCTCGCCAAATTCAGATCAGTGATTATTCTTCTCCGTGTTCGCTTTCCCCCCTCCAGGTCAGTAAGACCGGAGCTGCCGGTTCTGTCCTGGACGAGGCTAAAAACATCAACAAGTCTCTTTCCGCTCTGGGGAATGTCATCTCTGCCTTGGCCGAGGGAACGGTAACAGCATTCGTTTCTCTCTTGATTCCCCGTTTGCCATTTCTGTTTGTTTAATTACTTAATTAAAAGACAGACAACAACAAAAAGATTTTCTCCTCAGTTGTTTTAAGCTGTAAGCTGAAAGATTCAGTTTTTCCAAAGTGTTTTAGGACAGAAGAAAATGAACCAGTTTTACATTTCCATTTGTTCAGTTAGTTGTGTTTTAACTCAAAGAGGAAAGAGTCTTTATGTCCTGCTTGTTGGCTGAAGTTTTTACTGCCCTCTATTTTTTTCTTTCCTTTCCTTTCCTTTCTTTTCCTTTCCTTTCCTTTCCTTTCCTTTCCTTTCCTTTCCTTTCCTTTCCTTTCCTTTCCTTTCCTTTCCTTTCCTTTCCTTTCCTTTCCAGCAACACAGATTTTTCCATGAAATGCCAGAACCATCCAGCATGTTGTCACATTTGTTGGCTAAAGAACTGTCCGTCTGTAGCTCCTGTTTCAGGCTCTGTACTTCTAACATTAAAAAAATGAAATAAAATAAAATAAATCAGTTTCTGTTCTTGTTTTGTATCTCGCTTTTCTCCTGTTCTTCGTTGTTGATTTATCTATAGCCGTTTCTCTTCTCCGATCGTTCATCTCCTGCAGAAAAGTCACGTTCCGTACCGCGACAGCAAAATGACCCGCATCCTGCAGGACTCGCTGGGCGGGAACTGTCGCACCACCATGTTCATCTGCTGCTCTCCGTCCAGCTACAACGAAGGGGAGACTAAATCAACTCTGATGTTCGGACAGCGGTAGACACACAGTCGATTCAGCTTTGACAAATATCTAATTCTGTCCAGATCGGACAAAATAAAAAAAAAAATAAAGCTTGCATTAAAAATTGAGCTACAATAAGTGGGAGAAGTTAAAGAAATAGGAACACATTTAAGGGAATTATACTTTAAATTAATGCTATTTTCATGCAAACGTTTTCAATGTTGATTTTCTTTTGTTAGACAATATATTTTTTCTCCACTTACTTACTTATATTTTACGAAGCATTTAAAACATCTAATATTTTTCTAACTTTTAGTAAGTTTTTACAATCTAAGCTGAACAGATTTAAAAAAAACTTCCCTCTGATGTTACTAATGTTTTTTTTTTTTTTCTATTTGATTCTGAAAGTCAGAGAGGTGAAGAACCCATGCTTCACTCTTCAGATTAAAATGCATTTTCTGCATTTCTGCTAAAGAAAATGTTTGCACAAAAAATCTTTGTGAGAAGATTTTCAAATGAAGTTTGGACCATTGTTAGACTCATCCTTAATGACATATTAGACATTTTATTATTATATAATCACGGTAAACCATAAAAAATGTTTTGCACAGGAATGAATCAGGGCAGTGAGGTCTTTTGGGCATGAACTGAAATTCAAATAATTTGCGGTAGATAGAAATGCCTTTTGATTATATTTAAGTTTTATTTTGTGTAAACCAACACAAAGCTGCACATAAATGGGAACTGGAAATAAAATATTAATTGTTTTTTGTTCCTTTTCCTCACCCTGGATTTCAGTCATATCTCTGCATGTCCAAAGCATCATACTGTGTGATGTTACGAAATCTGGATAGAAATTCTTATTTATGTGATAAAACAGTCTTAACAAAGCGATTCTTAATTCCAGCCTGTATTTATTCCCTTTCCTTCTTCTGGTCTCAGCGCCAAGACCATAAGGAACACGGCCTCCATTAACCTGGAGTTGACTGCCGAGCAGTGGAAGAGGAAATACGAGAAGGAGAAGGAGAAGAACAAGACGCTGAAGGAGACGATTCAGAAACTGGAGGCGGAGCTCAACCGCTGGAGAAACGGTGCGATCATCTCTTCCAATCAGGCCGTCGTTTTTGCTGCATAACTTCTGATCAGACCCGAGATGCAACGTCGTGTCTCCTGCTTCGCAGGAGAGGACGTACCCGAGACTGAGCAGACCACGGCAGACGTGGTGACTCGCATCGAGACCGTGGAGGAGCGCCCCGTTCTGGACAACGACACCTCCTCCATTGTGGTCCGCATCTCCGAAGAGGAGCGGCAGAAGTACGAAGAGGAGATCCGCAAGCTGTACAAGCAGCTGGATGACAAGGTTGAAAGCTACAAACTTAAAACAGTCCTTTGTTGTTATGTAAACTATGTTAGTTTTATATTTGAGTAGACGTGCAAAGCTGCCCTGAAAATTGGTATTTAAGGCTGATTATGTCCGTCCAACTAAACTAGGGAGCATCAGTCAGAGAGACCAACAAGATCTGTGTGACGCTATACACATTTGAGTCAAATGATTACATTTTTGTAATTTTGCTAAATTATACAGTCAACAAACTGGCGCCCAACGTGGGGCTCAAACCCACGACCCTGAGATTAAGAGTCTCATGCTCTACCGACTGAGCTAGTCGGGCTCAGTCAGGCGTTTCCAACATTTTAAAGGGTCAATATTCATTATGTCACGTTTGCTGCAGGACGATGAGATCAACCTGCAGTGTCAGCTGGTGGAGAAACTGAAGCAGCAAATGCTGGACCAGGACGAGGTGAGAAAACTCTCCCAAATGTCCTAAATGATCCGATTCTGCCTTTAGCTCTTAAAACGTTCTGTTGTATCTTTTACCGTCTTCACGCCGGCAGCTCCTGGCCTCGTCCCGGGGAGACGGGGACAAGGTCCAGGCTGAGCTCGGCAGGCTGCAGGTGGAGAGCGACTGCGCCAAGGCCGAGGTGAAGGAGGTCCTTCAGGCTCTGGAGGAGCTGGCCATTAACTACGACCAGAAGAGCCAGGAGGTGGAGGAGAAGGGCCTGCAGAACCAGCTGCTGGCCGACCAGCTGTCCCAGAAAATGGTACGTTTCACCGTGACGCGATTGGTGGAGGGAGTCAGGAGAACCGAGCTGAGAGGCAGGAGGGGGAACAGAAGGTCCATTCTGGCCGCGCTGCAACAAAGAGACGAGCAAATGTTACAGTAACACAGTTTCAGTGAGTGGAAAGCAGTGCAGGAATCTTATGAAATTTAAATATTGGATTAGAAAAATCTGTTTATATTATAGATATGTGGAAGTTATGTTTGTACTTCTGTTAGTTTGCTTTTTTTTTAATGGATGTTTGTAAAGAAACGTAAAGGAATTTCACCGTCATTGCAAAATGATCTAGTAATAATCTTTGTTACTTTTCACTATAATGCCTCTATCAGCGATCCTGAGTCTGTCGCTTGTTCAAAGCCCAGTCTTGAAATTACCGTCATTTTTATCAAGTCTGCAGACCCGTCATTCACTTTGACTACTATAAAACATATAAAAATACAATTTCTTGGCTCGAAAGACGTCCATTACAGCTCTACGGTTGGCTCGTGTGCTTCTCCTTTCCCCCCTCCCCCAGGCGAGCCTGATGGAGCTGGAGGCAGAGCTGTCCCGTATGCAGGAGGTGAGCGGTCAGCAGAGGAAGCGCATCGCCGACGTCCTCAACGGACTCATGAGGGACCTCAGCGAGTTCAGCACCATCGTTGGGAACGGAGAGATAAAGCTGGTGAGCACAACTGCAGAACTAGAAGAGGTTTCATGTGGAGGTTATGGAGGCAGATCACCTTAAAATGTCTTAAACTCAATTATCTCAGGTACAGGCTTCAGTAGGCTAAGATTGTCCTTAATAGATTTTATTTCAGTCATGCATCTACATTCATCCATTTGTTTTATACTCTGTGGCATTAATTTGTTTTATGTGCTGGAGTTTTGCCTCAGGAATTTGGTTGTTGTTGCCCTAATTTGCAAAAAAAAAAAAAGTTTGTTGTGGTTGGCTGTTCTTTGTTCTGCTGTAAAATTGGACGAAAACTCGTTCATGTTTGTTCGTGTAGCCGGTGGAGATCAGCGGCGCCATCGAGGAGGAGTTCACCGTGGCCCGGCTCTACATCAGTAAGATCAAGTCGGAGGTGAAGAGCATGGTGAAGCGATGCCGCCAGCTGGAGAACATGCAGCTGGAGTGCCACCGCAAGATGGAGGAGACCGGCCGGGAGCTCTCCTCCTGCCAGCTCCTCATCTCTCAGGTGCCAACGCAGAATAAAAAAAAAGAGGAATAAATAAAATAAACAAACTAAAATAATCATGGGCAGATGGGTTGAAGGGGTGGAAGGGTCTTCATGGTTCATGCTGTTGTTTGTGCTTTCTGTTCGTGCAGCATGAGGCTAAGATCCGCTCTCTGACCGAGTACATGCAGAGCGTGGAGCAGAAGAAGAGGCAGCTGGAGGAAAGCCACGACTCCCTGACCGAAGAGCTGGCTAAGCTGCAGGACCAGGGTAACGGGCAGCACAGAGAAGCTCAGGAAAGCCTGTCTTGCAAAATAAATTCTGCTTTCTCGCTTCATTGGGTTTTTTTTTTTTTTTTTTTTTGCTTGTTTGCCACTGAACTTACAGATAACTCTGTGCTTGAGGAGAAAGACGGAGAGAAGGGTGAGATCGAGGATGGAAATACGAAGGTAAAGATTTTACTGTGTGCGTTTAGGAGAAAGTTGGTGTACTTTCCTGTAAAAATTTAGTAATTCCTTTAAACCTCACAATATGTTTGACTCAAATTACACTCCTGAGCTTCACCTGCTAAAAAAATCAATACCAGATTTTTTTATTAATTTGATTTGATTTAAGTGTTTAATGCCTGGCAGGAGAAACCATGGTATATTATCAGTCAGCATCTTTTAATGCGCGTGGTTTTCCCAACTTCCAGAAAGCGCTTCGTCAGCAGGGGGAGTCTCACCGCGGCCTCCATCACAAGCAGCTCGCCCGCCTGCGGGATGAGATCAACGAGAAGCAGAGGGTCATCGATGAGCTCACCGAGTCTGACATCATCTTTTCTTTTACCAAAAGATTGTCTTCTATCCAGTCTTTTAATTTCAGTAGTTATTTGCTATTTTACTTGTGTTTTCCATTGAAGGAACTGTGACTTATTTTATTTTTTTTATGTCCTAAAACTTCAGTCGCAACTCCAAGCTGGAGCTGGAGCTGGCTCAGGTGCGCGCCGACTTTGATCGCCTGAAGAGTCAGGACAGCTGCAAGAGCGAGCGCCTGGAGGAGCTTTCGTACGTATCTGGGAGTTTTAGTTTCACTAAAGCTATATTTGGATTAAAGTCATGATCCTGATGTTCAAGAAAAGGAAATAAAAAAAGGAAAAAAATCATGGCCGTTTAGTATGTAAATGAGTATTTATGCATATTTGACGACAGAGGTGATTGATCTGAGTTTTAGTCCAGCAAGAGGACAACTGAACAGATGCTTTTCCTGCTTTTTGTTAGATTCCTGCATGAGCGCCATGAGCAGACCAAGCAGGACTTGAAGGGTCTGGAGGAGACTGTTGTGAGTAAAACAGACACGACTCTCCATCTGCTTACAACTCCCAGAGTTTCTCCCTAAAGGACGACACTGTATAAGTTTCGCATAACAGAGAAAGTAGTTGTTTTTACCGCAGGTCTGCAAGACCAAAACCGTGCAATTTTTTTTTTTTTTTGATGTAGCAGCCCTGGGTTTTGTAGTTTTTACAAGCGTATCTTGTAAAAACTACAAGAACTTAAACAGGTTTTAGTTGTTGTCATCTGTGCAGACAGCAGTCGTGTGATTGGTCTGAGTTTTGAATTGGCCGTGGTTCACACGCTGAAATGCTGCAGTGGGAGAAACTTATGAAGACTTTGCAGAGACTCTGCACTGGAGTTCTGTCTTATGGAGCTTCTCTAGACTTTAACCGTCTTTCCGTCTTCCAGGCCCGCGAACTCCAGACCCTCCACAACCTGCGCAAGCTGTTCGTTCAAGACCTCACGTCGCGGGTTAAAAAAGTAAGGAGCTCAGCTCTCAAGAAACCCGTGAGCTACAAGCGCCTCACAGAGGCTTACGAACATATTCACACGCCTTGAAATTCTTCACGTTTTGCCACATTACGATGACAGATTGCAGTTTTTTTTTTTACTTGAAAACGATGTGATAGATCAACACAAAGTAAAGTATCATGGTAAAGTGGAAGGAAGAGGATTCATGGTTTGGACGTTTTCATTTTTAAAACATATATGAAAAGCAGCAGCTCAAGTGGGAGAAAAGACTGAAGAGTGGCAAAAAGAAAAGCAATATTAAAAGAAAATAACTGACCACTTGTTTTACCTGTAAACACATTACAATCCTGAATAAAAAACTGTTTCAAAGGCTGAAACTGGGGCACTAAACATTGATAACAGGGTTTGTAAAAAAAAAAAAGAAAAAAAATGATACAAACTATTAATCATTTATCTTCCACTCTTCAACTATGCTTACTTACTGATGTGACAAAATGTAAAAACGTACCGCAGCAAACTGCTCTGTGTTACTTTTGATTTTTAAAATATTTCTACAGAAATATATTAAAAAAATGTTGCAGACAATTCATCAGCTCCTCCGTTAAGAAGCGTTCCCCTTTTGATTTTCTCTTGTTTTTTTCTTTGTTTCTGTCTCTGCAGAGTTCCGAAATGGAGCCTGATGATAGCGGGGGGTCTAGCACCCAGAAGCAGAAGATTTCCTTTCTTGAGAATAACCTGGACCAACTTACAAAGGTTCACAAACAGGTGAGAAGCGCATAGAAGTGAGACGGGTTGTAATAATAAGCGATGTGATCCTGCAGGTTGGAATTAGATCTTAGAGAAGACGTACGACATTAATACAGCAGAGTTATCATGATGCATTATTGCTATTTTTCACTCACTTTTTGCACCAGTCAGTTTTGGGTCATTTGCTCCAAACAACACAAGTAGATTGTGAGTTTGAAAGTAATAAATGAAGATCTCTGCGAACCGTTTGTTTATATTGGTTCTGTGCCTTTAAATCGGTTGTATTTCGTCCTGTTTCCTGTCTCACACCCACAGCTGGTTCGTGACAATGCAGATCTGCGTTGTGAGCTTCCAAAGCTGGAGAAACGTCTTCGGTCTACTGCTGAGAGAGTTAAGGCCCTGGAGACTGCACTGAGGGACGCCAAAGAGGGCGCCATGATGGACCGCCGCCGCTACCAGCAGGAGGTGGATCGGATCAAGGAGGCCATGAAGTCTAAAATCGCGCTGCGGCGCCCCCATGCTGCACAGATCGGTACAGTTCCCTCACTTGTCCTACGCAACACTCGAGCGTGACGGTGCGACTACGAACAGCTGACAAATCTTACGTGGCTCTCGTCATTCCAACAGCAAAACCAGTGAGACCAAAGCAGCTGCCCGTCTGCTCTCCCACCAACCCGTTCTACGCCTACATCCGGGCCACCGAGCACGCCAACGCCTACAGCAACGCCCTCTTCCAGAGCAGCACGACGCCCAAGAGCTCCTCCAGCATCGACTGCAACCTGAACTCTGTGCAGAGCAACACGTGAGTTAAATACTCCCTCGGTCTGCGCCATCTTTGACCGGAGCGCTTAAACGTTTTTCCACATTTCTCCATGTTTAGACCAGAAACTGCAAAGTCGTCTACGTCGAATGTGACAGACCAACGCATGGCGGTAACTGTGAAGCAGAAGGAGAACGCATGATATTAGAAACACTGTTTACGAAAGTAAAGCACATTTAAATAAAGAGGTTAAACCAACGTGCTGCCGGTTAATATTTGGAATAAAATATGTGACACCAATGTTTGTAAGAATGTTTTTATAAAAGACTAATGTTAGAGACTGGGGCAGAGCTTCACTTTCCAGTAGAAAAACAACTGAACACATGCAGACACAGAAACAATGAAATCCTTTATTCATGTTTTAGAATGGCCCAGTCAAAGTCCAGCCATAAATCCTCAGAGAATACATATGGTAAAACTTGAAAACTCTTCTTATTAGAACGTTCAGACTTTCAGAAATATTCCAGTAGCTTGTGTTGGTCTGTCAGGACAGCTGAATCAGCAAAATACTCTGAAGGTAGAGGTGATTATGTGACAAAATGCTAACAGATACAAGGTACTACTTTTGTAATGCCTTGTACATAAAGGCGCACAGAATCTAACGAGCTGATTTTGTGCTGCGAAACGCAGAGATCTCGCAGGTTACTTCATTTAGTTTCAATGTTTCCCTGTTTGGCAGAGTTTCCACAGCTCTGGGCTACAGAGCAGGGAGGTATAATGGAGATGTGCTGGAGTCCTACCCACTCAACATTGACAACGGTAAAAATAAATTTATAAAAACCTCGACTGTTGTTGAGAACAGCTCTAATAATTGTGTTTCAACATCTTCTTAAACTCCTGATTTTTTTTCCTCCAACAGGAAACAGCATCAATGAAACCAGAGACATAAATGACAACAGGTGAGATCTGAAAGAAAATATTCACCGTTTTATTCAACAAAGGTTTTTAACCTTTTTTTTTTTCTTCTTCGATAAACTAAAAATGATCTTAAGCAATCAGGTTGTTGACGTCCTTATTAAGAGTCAGTCAGCTGACCTTTATGCAGCGCTATCCAGATGAAACTCACAATGTTTCTGCTTCATCAGAAGTGACGTTCACTGTGGCAGCGAGGTGGATGACTCAAACAGGCACAACAGCATGCAGCAGCCGCAGACTGCTTCAAGTTGTGAGTTTATACGAATGTAACCTTTAATCTAACGACTACATACCTGATCCTAGACTCACTTTGAATTTTAGATTTTGTTGCATGCACACACTTCGCTTTCTGCATAAAGCGATAGATAATAAAGGGCAGAATTCCTGATGTTGTCCAACTAAATACTTTTCCCCCCTCGGCTATTAAAGTAAACAGAACTGCAGTGGATGCAAAAACCCAGTAAAAAAAAAAAAATCTGTGTTTGGTTTGGCTTTTGCCACTAAAATTAAATCTTGTTGTTTGTTTATTGAAATTGTAGGGTTTTTTTTTTCTCCCATCACAATTATTCTACTAAAATTGATGACATTATGTGGAAATATTGAAGCAACATCTAAAATATCAGCCAGGATGCTAAAGCTTGGGTACAGATTGACATTATGTGCCCAAATGGGCCAAAAGTCCAGCAAACTATAGTGAAAAGCTTGTGGAAGAATAAAAATTTCACCAAAATGATGCAGCCTAAAGGCACTTTGATCAAATATTAAGGAAATATGTGTAAAACAAAATTAATCTGGATGGATTCTCTTTAGCTAAAAAGCTCTTTCTTATTCTGATATTTAGCAAGCACAAATGTTTTTGTCATCCTAAATGAGGGTAAGAATGGCTTAGTTGCATATAATGTCAGACACTGAGGGAAAAATCTTGTTTTTTTTCTTTTGCAGTGTATTTAAATATCAGGCTTACATTGAAAAAAATATCACTTTTCTAAAGAAAATAAATTATACTGGTGAAGAGTTTTTCTTTCATAGCTTCAAAAAAATAACTTTATGCATTAGATTCACATACAATAAGCAAGAGAAAGTAATCGAAGACTATAATGCATCTAGAAAAAACCGTGTTTGTGGTTTAGCGAGGTGTTACAAGCACTTAAGCATTTTGGGGTTTTCTATATTTTGTGTGCTAGTTTGAGACACAATGAGACATTTCTCATAGTGACTAATGAAGGGCATTTACTTCTCTCTCCAAGTAAAGCAAGAGGCAAAATTAAATCTGTTTCTCTGAGATCTAAAGCCAGGAATTAAACTGCAAAAAAAAAAAAAACGTCTATAAATGCGGCTTGCAAAACAAAACACAGTCCAACATAAAACTGGTGGTGTGTACAAACCAAAATCAACCCAAATGAGTTGATTAGTTAATGATCCTTCCTGTTATTAATCTCTATTTGGTTGTCTTTGCAGAGCTCAACCAAACACTGTAACCCTCGGAGAACCCTCCCGTTTTGTTCGCATGCAGCCTCTGTGACCTCCGTCCACCGCATCACCACTGAAGATGAAGATGAAGATCTGTAGCCCTGTGGAAGATGAAGCCCCCTCCTGTTCCCACGGTGACCTTTCTTGCTCTCCGTTTTGGGCTCCAGTCCCTTCCGGTTCAGCCAGTGCTGAGCATCTTCTCTCAGGCTCTGCTTTATTCAGACAGCCTAATCACAGACGAATCTAAATTATTGATCCGTGAGTTCATCGACGGGGCCCAGCAGATATCACTGCCTGAGGTGGCTGAACCGAACCAGGACTGGACCCAGATTGCTCGATGCTCACACTTTGTAAATAGTAGTGCTGTATACTCCTGTAGTTTTTTTTTCTTCTTTTTGTTTTTGACCAACAACTGTTTGTCCAAATTGCCACACTCGCTCCGCCCCCTTTGTGCAAATTTTCTTCGCCACGCCGGTTTAAAAAAAACAACAAACAAAACAACAAATGCGAGCGACCATGAATCTTTTATTCTGTCATAAATAAGAGCGTATACCAGCTAGTCGGTTGACACCTCAGTCTTTTTGTGCATGTTGCTTAAGTTTCCTGGCCAAGCTTTCAAATCTCTCTGCATGTGTCCTATATGGAGCTGGTGATGGATGCAAGAAACAAGAAACGAGAGCGGGACGATTTCCCTCAGTCCAGATCTTGGTGTCAGTACTCTATGTTTTCTATCTCAAAGTAAATCTCAGTGCAGATTTAAATCAGTGTAAATAAAAAAAAAAAGGAAAAGTCACAACGAATATTAGAGAGAATCCCAGCTCAGACTCACAGTTGCATTGAGAGGATCTCGACTGATTGCTTTGATAATGCCGCAGCTGTACGATGGCCCTCTGTACATTCCCTGCACCGCTCGCACACTTCAGTGTCCCCTTTACCGAGCCTTAACATCAACTGATACTTCACAGTCAATTGGACTCGCTGGCATTTGCATAAAGTACATTTGTAATTACTACCTCTAGAGCAGCTTGTTGTTTATGAATACCTTTCTTTTCAGATGCTGATTAAAAAGAGAGCTGATCTTAGAGTTTCTACACAGTTGTAACTTTAGAATAAGAGTACGTGTAAGTAGATTTTGACGTATTAACCATAGCTGTAGTTTTCGCCTCATGCCGGTTCATTAAAAAAAAGCATTTTTATTTCCTCAGAGCTTGGCCGATGCGATGGTGTTTGCAAAAACGGCCTTTTCAGCTTTAAAACGACAGCATGAAGCTTTGTTGTTATTCTTTGTCACAAGATTTGACTTTAGATTTTTGTGTACATTACATCCACTCCCAAATGTGCAGAAAAGCAGAGGCTTTTTTTTTATTTTTTTTTAACGTTTGACATATGGGCAGTTGCCCAGGACGGCATTAGAAAACGGGCGCACAAACACCATGTACAGGATATGTAACCTATTTATCTGTTTGTCGCGTTCTCTCAACAAGTTTTCTATCGTTTTCTTACATGTGCAATTAAATGAGAATTGGTACCTCCATCCTGTGGCCAGTCCTGCTCACATTGGGACAGAAGGGTGTGTCTGCTGTTGGTCATTGTGGCCACATGGGCTTAGGCACAAGCTATTCTGTGTCGCCTTGTTTTCCTTTGGGTAAAGTGGTTGGGTGCTAAGTTTGGCTTTGCACGACTGAATGAATGAAACTGGAACCGTTTCCATGGGTGTTTGTATCGTGAAAAGCAGAATCAGAATGGAGGAAGTAGCAGTGGATGTTGGGGGGCGGGAGAAAGAAGTGAAGGATCCTTAAAAGACAGTATGGAAGCTGTTACTGAGGACCGAAACGTTTAACGCTTCAGGTTTTATTCCAGACTGAGCAGCCACCAGTCTGGAACTTTTTGAGGAAGTTGTGTGTCCTGTTGTCGTTCTTCTGCAAAATCCTGACCAGCCAATCAGGATAGAGGAAAGCAGCATTTCATACAGGTGGGAAACAAGTAGGTATTGTCTCAAAATGGAAAGGAAACAGTTAAAAGGGAAGATGAGCAGCTAAGCACCCAACCATGTTCTGTCTTCTTCAGTAAATTTGACAGAACTTTAGAGTTTAATTAGCCAATTACACACACAAAAAAAAAACATTTAAAAATGCTCAAACATTTATCCCGTGTGAATTCCTCCGTTCTTTTTCATCACATTTCCGCTCGGCCTGATGCTCTTGCTGGCATTAATAACATCTCAGGGCTTATTACACGCATAATCAAAGCAGGCATACATCACCGCCATTGTCTTCCTCCTGAGCTATGTGATTGCTGATGAACAATCAATCCAATAAGTATCAGTGTATCCTCCTTCAGTCTAAGCAAAAGAGCGAGGTGATTCGTGAGAATGGAGGAGATATGTACGTAAATCCAAATAAACCCGCCTCCATTCTAACTCATAGCCTTTCAACCCTTCAATCTTATATGATATTTAATTTTTTTTAAATAGATCTGCATTAGAAGGACTGTGTAATATGTCGTCATCTGCTGATACACTGTCTGAACTCAACATATCTACGATACATGTGCTATATACTGGTAAAGCTGTAAGAAAAAAGGCGCATCATGACATAGTAGGATGCACGCTGACCTCGTTCAGAGAAATGCTCCTTTTATTTGTTTCTGTATGCTTCTAATTGTAGTGTCGACATGATTATGTGAAGAGTCACCTTGCAGAATATCTGTAAATATAGATTCATCACTATGCTGTATGTAAACCTGTGTGTTGTAGTAAAAATGTTCAATAAAACTGTAAAAAAGGTGATTTGGTGTCGTTCTTGTTCACGCCATGCTGGTGTGATGCTGCATAAGAACAGATGGAAATGGTGCCATCTAGTGGTTCTTATGGTTAAGGTGTAAAACTTTCAGATTTTATGAATTGTAGGAGAAATTGTCATTTCTCCTGCATTCGTGTTCAATCTTTCTGGGTAATTACTTTGTAGAGCCACTATGTGTAGCCTCATTCAGCTTTGCACTATAAAAATGGATTCTTTCCAGTTTAAGCTCAATGAGGTTGGATGAGTACAACTTGTGATCATCAGTTTTCATGTCGGTCCACAAATTTTGATAAGTTTTTAGGTCTGGACTCACAAACTGAATGATCTAAGCTCTTATTTTGGCAGGATGTTTAGCAACTCAACTCTTTTTTTTTTTTTGGCTGTAACGTTTTCTAACAGGATTGCCCTTTGTTTTGCTCCATCCATTCCCCATCAACTCTGACCAGCTTCCCTGTGTCTGTTGAAGAAAAGCAAACCCGTAGCATGATGCTGCCACCACAACGTTTCGCCACGGCGATGCGTTCACATGTGCAGGTTAGTTTTCTGAATGAATTGTTTTGCATACAAATCAAATGGAAGCAAACATTTGTTCTGCTCAGCTGGCATTTAAAAACAGCGTCAGCGCAGTGGAACATGATCCATGTTTGTAGCGAAGGGTTAAAAATACCGTCACAAAAAGAGGGACTCCTTGTCATCTGGAACATGCAGTTATTGCATATTTTCCAGGTCATACAGTGTTTCTTGAAATGCCCAAACAGAAATTTGCAACTCCTTTCAGTGACTTCATTTCCTGCTCTCTGGTGTTATCGCAACCTCTGACCTAAACAGGAAACTGATGTGAAATTATCGAAAAATGGAGACTTGCCAAAGAAAAGCTGAGATCAAAGTAATGTCAACGGCAGAGAAATTAATGAGTTAAGCTGCAAGCACTGAAGACACAATAACCACACATTTAAAAGGTGCTAAAAATATAAAATGTACACTGGTGGTGTAGTTATCTGGACTCTGCTTTTGTCAGCGTTCACAAAATACTGCTGATGAAGTAAAGCTTTGCCTTCAAAGGTACTTCCTTACTTTGTGTTATTTTATAATAAGCTCCGCTTCATGGTTCCCACGAGAAAGGAAGCAGTGATGTAAACAGCAGTGGCATGTGAAGCATCTTCAGGCCACTGTGGGGTTTAAGTGAATAAGAAGGATGCAGATTAGCTGCTCGGCACAGCTATTGTTCACATGATTGGAGTTGAATATGAGACAGATTTTTACTCATCTTTTTCTATTTTTTAACTTAAATATCATTCTGAGTTTATAGCATACTGTATGGATGGATGCTTATACTGTACAAGAACCAACTACGGTGAATATCTAAAGCAACAATTAGATGGAAAAATTTGCATTTCATGTCGATTTTCTTCCATTTTAATTTTATTTCTTATTTTTATGACATTATTGAGAAATCTGTAAATATTTTTTGGACATGTAAATTTTAAACAAAATTGTAATTTTCTTTTGTTTTGTTTTTATTAAAGTTTTGAGAGGTGTCTTTTTCTCTTCCTATCAGTCACAAACATCTTGACTGAATAAAAGTGAATTAAAATTCAGATATGCATTTAATTTGAATAATTTCAAATGTGTGCATCTAATTAAAAAAAGAACAACGCACAGGCTGCATGTAATTTCAAGATGAAAAAAGAACAGTGTAACGAAATTTACACCAACGATGATGTGTAGATGTGAACCTAATGCTAATTCAAAATACAATAACATGAAGGCAAACTATCTGATCCATAATCTAATAATTTAATAAACAAATCAAAAGACGGATTAATCTATAATTTCACCTTCATATGTTGCAACCGAGTTGTAAAGTTGACTCGGACCGGCTCGGTAATTAACAGCATAGAGTTCAGCTTTGACAGTAATTGATTTGGGGGGGTTCGTGCGCATGCCCGCTGCGCGCTCCCGCGGCGCTGTGGGATCGATCGACAGCAGCGGGGCTGAACGGACGGCGACAGTCCGCGGCAGGCAGGCAGGCGGTCAGTCCCCCGTGACCCTCATCCCGGTGGACGGAGCTCGGCCAGCAGCGGCTTCTGTCGCCCGCGGAGTTCACTGCAGCACCGCAGAGGAGCCAAGCCACAAGGTAGAGACTGTCAGTGAACGAGCTGAGGGTTGTTTCTCTGTAAAGCTGGAACATCGTCGTTTGCTGTGTTTCAGAGGCAGGGAGTTGCTAAACTGAGAGCTGCGGCGCTGAATTGCTTAGTTGGTAAAATGATAGAAATGGACGCATGACGGTGCCAGGCTTGGTCTACTATTTAGGTTTATTTAGGATTTTGTGGACACCTCTGTTATCCGATATTTAACTCATTTGGCTTGAAGGTTTCATTTAATTGTTTGTTTGTTTTCCCCAAAATGTCTAACTTGGAGCAGCTCTAACTTAAGCTGCTCTAAGTTAGAGCTCTAGATGAGCAGCTTGCCACATTTAGAGAGAAATGCAGTGTGACTGTAGCTTGGTTACATGCAGTTACTTACGGATGTGAATCTCTTAAAGTCTGCACATTTAGGCTGCTGCAAGGAATTATTTATCTGTACATTAAGGTGGTTTCTTTAGCAATCTTGTCTTATTATTTACTATAGTCAATAACTACAGTTGATGAAATGCTGCTTAACACATGCACTGACTTCATATCACCCAATACTGCTGCGCTAATAGCAAGTCACTGTCATCCTGCCAAACCCACCAGCACTCTGAGGATTGGATTTCACTTCAGCAAAATCAATGAAAAAAAAAAAAAAAAAGGGGTGAGGGAGCAATGAGGTTGATGTTTTTAATCAGAAGCCATGGAAGGGCTGATAATCCTCACTGCTTTTATTCTTCTGGTCAGTCCGATCAGTTGCATAAACCCGAGACTGATGATGTGTTGACACGCAGACACCCTCACACGTACAGGACCCTGTGGTTGGGTGTCACTGGTGGGTCCAAATGAGCTGAAGATCTGATACCGGCTATTCATCACTGCTGCTCTGGTCTTCAAGGAGATATTTGTGAGTGGAAGTGAGACTTGTGAAATGGGCACTGACTTCTGTTATATCCAAGTGTCTGCAGACTTCTGTTTATTTTGGACACCACTGTGATTAATCATGTCAGAGAGTTTTAAGAGTGTTTGATGTTGTGCTGGGGCTCTTACAGTACTTATGTAAGCCTTCATTTGGCTAAAAACAAAACTACAACGACACACATCACAAATAGTTGAAGAATGGGAAGGTGTTTTTCTTTATTATTTTTTTTTTACTAATTGACAAAAATGTTTCCAACGTTGTTATTTTTGCAACGTTACTGAACCGAAACTGGACACAGAACTGATTTTGGATTTGAAATTTGTGCAATTTG